CCCGAGTCCCCTCCCCGGGGCCCGGCAACCTCGCCCCGATCCCCGAGTCCCTCCCCGGGGCCCAGCAACCTCGCCCCGAACCCCGAGTCCCCTCCCCGGGGCCCGGCAACCTCGCCCCGAACCCCGAGTCCCCTCCCCGGGGCCCGGCAACCTCGCCCCGAACCCCGAGTCCCTCCCCGGGGCCCGGCAACCTCGCCCCGATCCCCGAGTCCCCTCCCCGGGGCCCGGCAACCTCGCCCCGAACCCCGAGTCCCCTCCCCGGGGCCCGGCAACCTCGCCCCGAACCCCGAGTCCCCTCCCCGGGGCCCGGCAACCTCGCCCCGAACCCCGAGTCCCCTCCCCGGGGCCCGGCAACCTCGCCCCGATCCCCGAGTCCCTCCCCGCGCTGTGCAGCGCGGCCCTCTCCCCGCTCCGAGGGTCTGGAGGAAGGCGTTTCCTCGCGCTTCACTTCTGAAACACCCCGAGGACGAGTCGACCTTCAGACGCCCGAGCTACGGGCGCCACCACCAGCCACAGCTCCCGGATGCCGCGTGGTCAGGGCTCCCTTAGCTTCCGTGTCTGTGCGCCCGGTGCCCGGCAAGGGCTTCGCTGAGTCCCCTCGCCGGGTTGGCGCAGGCTGTGCTGTCGTCCACAAGTTATCAACCGGGCCAGGTGTGTGGTTCACGCCTGCAGTCCCAGCAGTCTGGAGGGCAAGGTGTGAGGGTCGCGCGAGCCCAGGAGTTCGAGCCCAGCCTCAGCCACCCATCTCTTCAAAAACGCAAAACATTAACTGGGCATGGCGACGCACGCCTGTAGTTCCAGCTACTCGGGAGGCTGAGGCAGAAGGATCGCCTCAGCCATGGAGGCTGAGGCTGCGGTGAGCCACGATCATGCCACCGCGCTCCATCCGGACAACAGTGAGACCCCGACTCAAAAACAGGTGGGGAAACTAAGGCTCAGGGGGACAAAGGAGCTGGCCCAAGTCCCACGGCTGCTGTGAGCCTGGAAGGCTGTGCTCTCCCAGCACGCCATGACAGTGCTCGGCGGTCCTCAAGACCTGCCGTATCACCCTCTTCCCCTCCCTGTCCCCACACCCTTCCGGGAGCCTCCCCGGGAATCCCCTCTTCTGTGAAGACGGCGTCCCCTGATTCCTGCTTCCCCGCTGGCCCATCTGTGGACACCAGGCGAGCCCAGCCCCGGCAGGAAGGTCCTCAGATGCCCCGTCTGGGCCCCCGCCACCCGCGTCATCCATCGAGGCCGCGCTCCACCTGAGAAGGCCAACGTTTTAGTTTTCAGTGAAGCGTTGAGACGATTCACAGTGAAAGACACAAATGTACCTGCTCGATGGAAATGGAAGATGAATGCCGCAAAACGAGAGAGAGCTAATTGTTAGCACTGAGAGTCAAGTTGCTAGGTGGTCAGAGGTTCGATTTATCTCTGAAAACCAGGAGGATTCCAAGTTGGACATACGTGTGGTTACCTTTAAAAAAAAAAAACAAAAACTTACATGCAGCATGAAACGTTAAAAAGACTCTCGAAATCCAGACACAGCACACACCTGTAGTTTCCGTGAGGAGGCTGAGGCGAGGGGATCGCTTGAGGCTGGGAATTCAAGGCCAGCCTGGGCAACACAGAGAAAGCCCCACCTTTACAGAAAATTTAAAAAAAAAAAAAAAAACTCTCAAAAGACTAAGCAGAGGTGATTTTCGTTTAAATGATTTGCACTGTTAGGTTTTCCCCTATTCCTATTTGCTAACTTTTATTTAATGAGCATGTGTCATTTTTATTTATTTTATTTCACTTATTCTTTCGTTGCCGAAAAAATAATAGCAGTTTCTCCCTGCGAAGGTGTAGTTATGTATATCTAGATCTCTATCTCTAGGTCCAGATTAGACCTAGGAATGTAGTTGATGAGATGGAGAGAGAGATCCATAGAGGAAAACTATGTTACGTTAAGAGAGAAACTCTCTCCCCCAGAGCCAAAGCCTCACAGGAATGGCCAATACAGCAATGCCTTGATTGCCCATTTTTAAACAACCACAGGCGCAATCTTTCCCCGTCTGCTGCTTCTGTCTCCCTTGGTGCCAGTCGTGTGCGTGACGGTGCTTGTGAGTGCCTGGGCAGAGCGGGGGCAGGGCTGGCCTGATCTCTGGGGTCCAGCTTTGCCCCTTTCCCATCAGGTAGTGCGACTCCAGGGCAGAATTCAGAATCCCAGGGACGGATGGGAGAGCTTCAGCCGAGGCCTTCCTCCTTACCTGTTCTCTCTTCCCCTGTTGTGACTGTCACTCACACACACACACCCCACACTGCTGTTAGGATGCCCACGTGCAACTTGCTAGATAAAATTCCTCTTCCCGCTCAGCCTCCGATCTGGCCCCGTCCTTCTCTCTCCTGGCCTGACACAGCCACGGGTCATGTCATGATCGGGTCACGGGTCAGCCCTGCCACCAGCTTCGTCCCTCAGCCCTGACACGAGCCTGCTGGAGAAACCCTCCAAGCCTCGACTGGTCTTGCCTCTTCCCTGTGCCCGGATAACCACGCCTAGTGACGACCCATCCGATGGGGAGCCTCCCCACCTCGGGCGTCTTTGCAATCCACGGCCTGGGAAAGTGCCCTGCATGGCTGCACGTTGAACAGGTAGCCCACGCATGGACGAGCGGGGAGGGGAACGGATGGGCAGAGGGACGGAGGGATGGATCCGATAAGGAAAGCCAACAGGACCGCCCACAAAGGCGCAAGAACCAGAGGCCTGTGGCCCCAGGCCAGTCCCCCCACCCCTGTGGGACGTAGCGCCATTGGGTATTTGGAGCCATGGAGAGAGGGTGAGGAGAGGTTTCCCAAAGAAGCAAAACGTGAAAGCGGGACACTCTGGCCTGGTGGACACGAGAGGCAAGAGCCCCTCCTCCCTCCCAGGGGCCCAGCTTCCTTCCCGAAAAGGCGGAGTTCCCCTTGCCCCACAGCCTTGCCCCCCGCCCGAGCCCTAGGCGGGGTGTTGGCCCGGTGCTGACAGACAGAGGACTCTCCGTGGTCTCTGCGCCTGCCCCGGCCTCTAGAAGAACCAGGCCCATGGCCGGCCTGAGCCCCTGGCGGCAGGGAGGGAGGATCTCGAGACCCGCCCTGCGTGGGGGCCTCCCAACGCAACAGTTCCCATGCTGTGTCTGGGTGTCCCTCATGGGCAGAGCAGGCCAGGCACGACACAGAGAGCTCGAGCTTCCCGGTCTGCCGCCATTCCTGCCGCTTCATCCTGGGCATGGAAACCCCGCCACCCCTAGGCCGGGGCTGCTGGCTGAGCAGGGCTAGAAGAATGGGGTCGCGGGAAGGGACAGGCCTGGACAAGGGCCCTCGCAGCCCGTGCTTTGCCACAGCCCTCCGGGCAGAGGGTTCGTGAACACAGCCGCAGACCCGGAAAGCCTCTGAGAATTCTGGTCCAGTGTAGAGACCACAGCCCCGACCTCCCCGGCCCCAAAACCGAGACCCCCGTCTTCTCGGCCCGCTCCCCTGTGGACCAGCAGATGGCACCACCCGCAGGGATTTCAGAATCCAAACTCAAAGTGAACACGGGATTTCTTGTTTATGCAAATAGTTCCTTCCCCGCCACGTTCCTCTGGGAATGCCCCCCGCCCCCCACTCCCAGGCATTCCCTCCCCTTCCCTCCTGCATGACAGCCCTCTCACTCAGCTCACAGCGCCTGAGAACACTGGCCGGAGAGCCTGGGATCCGGGCAGCCTGAGACATGTGAGTGAGGCTGATGGCCCCGGGAGACGAGGAGGGAGAAGCCCGAGGGGTGAAAAGCCTGAGGGGGGGAGAAGCCCGAGGGGAGGAGAAGCTGGGGGGAAGCCAACCCGGCTCCTAACGTGCTCGCGGAAACCGAAACATGCCCCTTCCCACGCGCCCCGTCTGTCCCAGGCTGCGCACACATGGGCCCAGGCCCCATCCCTCCTCCGAGGACCGGGGACACCTAGGAGGCAGGGGCTGACCCACTCTCCCATCTTCCCTCCACGCCGGCGGCAGGGAGCGGGGGGGGGCAGGGGACCCACTGGTGTCTCCCACACGCCCCTGGCAGTTTCTCCCAGAGGCCTTTGCTGAGCTTCTGGGAGCCTCTTCAGAGAGCAAGGACTAGAAGCCCTCGGCCTCTGTTCGCAGGTCCCGTTAGCGGGGCTCAAGCCAGGCCCGTTCTGGAAGGGGGGCTGCTGGGCAGGGGAGGAGGCTGGGAGGGAGTGGAAGGGGAGCGTGGCTGACCTCCGGACTGGACCCTGCCCTGGGGAGAGGCGCCCGATGCCGCGCAGAGGCTGACCTCCCCACCTCCCCGCTCCCGTCCAGAAGGGCTCGGGGATGTCCAGAGCGGGCAGACAGGAGGCGGCCCGGGGCGGGGCCGGCCCATCCCCAGCCCAGGACCGCCCCGACCGCCGGGGCCTGCACTCCTCCCCCACAGGCACCCTCTTTCTTCCTGGCAGGTGGCTCTGGTGCGTCCTGGTGCCGGCCCTGTTCCGCGGGGCGGGAGGCTCGGTCCCCCTCCCGCCGAAGCTCTTTGGGGAGGTGACGTCCCCTGGGTTCCCCAAGCCTTACCCCCACAACTTCGAGACGACCACTGTGATCACGGTCCCCACGGGGTACAGGGTGAAGCTTGTCTTCTGGCAGTTTGACCTGGAGCCTTCTGAAGGCTGTTTCTATGACTATGTCAAGGTAGGGTCCGCTTGGGAGGGCAGAGGGGATTCGAGGCCTTGTCCAGCACGCCCATCCCCAGGCCCGGCCCCGTAGGAGCGGACGGCCGCCTGGAGCTCGGGGAGTCAGGTGTGGCCCTGGGTGGGCGCCTCTGGTTGAGAGGCCCAAGTGAGCTTTGAGAGGAGGGCCCCAGAGAAGGGAGGGACAGGCCCACTCTCAGGAAAGTCCTGTCTTCGGAAAACCCGCCCCATCTGCTGACGAGCTGGGACTTTCTGGGAAACCACTGTGCCCCAGTTTCCCTGTTTCTACGGAGAATACAGGAACACAGGGACAGGAGGAGGAGAAATGTGCGCTCCAGCAGCACAGCGTAGACATTAGCAGGGACAGCGGGCAGAACCCTTGCCTCTGACACCCAGGGCACCTCCCAGTCCCCCCTTTCTATGTCTCAGAACAGCCAGGCGCAGTGGCTCGTGCCTGTAACCCTAGAACTTTGGGAGGCAGAGATGAGAGGGTTGCCAGAGCCCGGGGGCTCAAGACAAGTCTGAGCAATTTGGCAGGATGTCGTTTCTACAACAAATCGAAAAACTTAGCCGGCCATGGTGGCACACGCCTGTGGCTTTAGCTCACTGGGGCTGAAGCGGAAGGATCACCTGAGCCCAGCAGGTCGAGGCTGCAGGGGTCGTGAACGTGCCACTGCACGCCAGCCTGGGCGACAGAGTGAGACCCCAACTCAAAAAAGATGGAAAGCAATGTGATCCGGGGCTGAAGCGAGCCCGTGAGGGTCCCCCAGCCGCCATTCCCAGGACACCCCCAGGGCTGTGAGAGAAGGCCGTGAAAACGGCACGTCCCTCCGGCCCACAGGACTGAGGAAGTCTGCAGCGCGGGGGAAGGGTGTCTGGTGGCCGGGGCAGTGAGGAACGGGGCAGGCCCCGCTTCTGCTTTTGAGGGCCTGAGGCGTCCGTGAGGAAAGGGGGTCGGGGAAGCGAGGCATGCTGGTGGGGACCGAGCCTGGGGACCCCCACAGCTCACGTGTGTCCGGGAGCCCAGGGGTGTGAGCCTGCGACGGTGGGGGGGTGGAAGAGGGAGACAGCACCGCGTGGGACAGTCTGGGCCCTGGGAGCGAAGGGATGGGAAGGACGGGCACATGCTACCACGAGCTCAGCGGAGAAGATGAAGAAAGGTCTGAAACCTCCCGGGGTACAGGAGACAGGCCGGGGGTGAGGTGCCAGGCCCGGAGAGCACGCGAGAGTGAGTCCGTGGAGGTTAGGGGTGCGGAGGAAGGTCACCGCGGCAGCTGGAGCCATCGTGGGCGTGGTTCCCTCTGGGCAGGAGAGCGCGACCCCCCCCAACGGGGGTCCTTCCCCCCACCCCAATTCCCCTTCTCCCACCAGCTCTCTGCCGATAAGAAAAACCTGGGGCGATTCTGCGGGCAGCTGGGCGCTCCCCTGGGCAACCCCCCGGGGAAGAAGGAATTCCTGTCGCAAGGGAACAAGATTCTGCTGACCTTCCACACGGACTTCTCCAACGAGGAGAACGGGACCCTCATGTTCTACAAGGGCTTCCTGGCCTACTACCACGCTGTGGGTGAGTGGTCCGGAGGGGGCTCTTCCTCCTGGCCTCCGCCATACTGCGTGGAGGCCAGAAAGGGGAGTCCCGAACCCGAAGAAGCCGGCAGCCCTGCTTTTCTCGCACCCCCCCGCAAGAGAGCTTTTCCCGAAGAGCCTGTCAGCCTGGGCTCCGTCCCCCTGGTCAGTCCCCAGAGAGCCCTGGGAGGCCTGGAGGTCCAGGGAGCCAGGAGCGGCCGGCGCCTTTAGGCCTCCGTTGAGGGACCTCTCTGAAGCCAGAGACCCCACCCAGAGCTTCCCGGAACACAGCCTCGCTTCCTGCACCCCTTCCAGACCTCGACGAATGTGCTTCCCAGAGCAACTCGGGCGAGGAGGGCCGCCAGCCCCGGTGCCAACACCTGTGTCACAACTACGTCGGCGGCTACTTCTGTTCCTGCCGTCCAGGCTACGAGCTGCAGCAGGACGGGCACTCCTGCCAGGGTGAGCGGGTGGTGTGGGAGGGAGGCAGGGATGGGGCCGGGCTGGCCGGGCCCCCCGGGGCGCCCCGTGACGCCCGTGGCTCTGCTCTCCCAGCGGAGTGCAGCCACGAGCTGCACACGGAGCCGTCAGGCTACGTCTCCAGCCTGGAGTACCCCCGGCCCTACCCGCCCGACCTGCGTTGCAACTACAGCATCCGGGTGGAGCGCGGCCTCACCCTCCACCTGAAGTTCCTGGAGCCTTTCGAAATTGACGACCACCAGCAAGTTCGCTGCCCCTATGACCAGCTGCAGGTAACCACCGTCTGCTGCCCCTGGAAGACCCCTCCTCTCCTTCCCATCCCCACGTGCCCCGCCCCCCGGAGTCCTCTGGCTACTTGGGAGAGGAGCAGCCATAGCACACAGGGGCTAGGCTCGTTTCCACACAAGAAAAAGTGAATTCCGGGCATTCCTTTCTCGTCAGCTGAAAACCCACACAAGGCAGATTTCGCCATTGTCTCCATCACCCTGGCCACCAGGCTACTGCCCAGGTGGCCCTATGTAAAAATAGCCAAGCTCAGTGGGGCACAGTGGCTCACGCTTCTCATCCCAGCACTTTGGGAGGCTGAGGCGAGAGGATTGCCTGAACTCAGAGGTTTGAGACCAGCCAGGTGTAGTGGTGCACGCCTGTGGTTCCAGCTGCTTGGAAGGCTGAGGCGAAGGATCACCGGAGCCCAGCAGGTCGAGGCGGCGGTGGCCGGGAGCGTGCCGCTGCCCTCCAGCCTGGGCGGCAGAGTGAGACTCCGACTCACACAAACAAGTCCAAGCTCGAGAAATAACCCTCCCTCCTCCCCCACCAGATCTATGCCAACGGGAGGAACATCGGCGAGTTCTGTGGGAAGCAGAGGCCCCCTGATCTCGACACCAGCAGCAGCGCCGTGGACCTGCTGTTCTTCGCGGACGAGTCGGGCGACAGCCGCGGCTGGAAGCTGCACTACACCACGGAGAGTAAGGCTGCCGGGGTCCCCCGCGCCGGCCGGCCGGGCAGCAGGGGCACAAGGGGCCGGGAGTAAACATGCCCTCTGGCCGCCCCACAGTCATCAAGTGCCCCCAGCCCAAGACCCTAGACGAGTTCACCATCATCCAGGACCTGCAGCCTCAGTACCAGTTCCGCGACTACTTCATTGCCACCTGCAAGCAAGGCTACCAGCTCGTGGAGGTGAGAGCCTGGTCCGGGGGGGGAGCCAGCCTGGCGGCCAGGAGGGACTTCTCGGAGGAGGAGGTCCACGGTGCACTGAGGCTCATCCCAGCTGGAGTCATAGAGGGCTGGGCTGGAAGAGTCATCTGGTCCATCAGCTCCCAATCTTGGCTGCCTACTGGAAACACTTAGAGAGTTCTATAGATGTGGGTGTCGGGGCCCCCATGGAGACCCGGGTGAGTCTAACGTGCAGCCACGTGTGAGAACAACTGACCTCGTCCAGTAACCCCTTGAGGATTAGAAAGGCTGGGTGGAGAGACAGTGACTCGTTGACACCATGGAGTGATTGTTCACCGCAAGGACCAAATCCCAAATCTCCCCCTCCTGCCCTGAGACGTTTATACTCATTGGTAGTCTTACCCCGGGCCTACCGTCTTGTTCTCAGCTGTGCAAACATGAGAAGGAACATGGTTGTATCCACTGACCAATCTCACAGAAGCTGGTCAACCCAAAAGCTATTGGAAGGCTGAGGTGGAAGGATCTCCTGAGCCCAGCGGGTCGAGGCTGTGGTGGCCAGGAGCGGCCACTGCACTCCAGTCTGGGCGACAGAGTGAGACTCCCACTCAAAAAAAAGAAAAAAGAGTACGACTGGAGTTTCCCTGGCCGCGGACCCAGGACCGGATGTTCCGTCCTTGTTCCCTAGGCGCACCACAAATGCCTCACCGGAGTTAGAGAAGAGACCTACGATGTGTCCTTAAGTCGTCGTTAAGTCTCTCAACACACACCTCAGGTGTCTGCTCCCAGGCTGTGCCTAGATGCAGGAGGTGCAGGAAAGGCCCACACACTCACCCAGCCCGCATGGCACACGTGGGAATGACACATCAAACCAGGGTTGCTCTCGACTCCAGGATGCGCCCAGCTACCCCCGGAGGCTGGGGGTGGGGTTGGGCCAGAAGACAGCGCCAGCAGGGTCTGCTCGTGTTACGACCACCCCCCTTCCGTGCTGTCTTGCATTTGTCATTCACGTCATAGAATGCAAAGCAAGGCGCACGGTTTCTCACGTTATGTATATTTCACCCAGACATCCCAATTCTCATACTCATCCTCTACAATCTTTCCCAGGGCTAACTCTCTGGGATGGTATTTACTCTTTTTTTTTTTTTTTTTTTTTTTTT